AACCCGTCATTCAACTATGGCCTAGGACACCATTTACCCCAAGGGTATTGGCGGCTCAAATTCCGGGAAAGTGTCGAGGGCAACCCATCAAGCCCTACGAAGGGAAGACAGACCCCCATGAGCACTACAGCAGGTATCAGAACAACATGATGATGGTGGGGGAATCAAACGAGTATTTGTGTTGTTGGTTCCTCTCCACCTTGGAGGGACCAACATACGAATGGTTCAACCGATTGCCCAAAGGCAGCATTGACTCGTGGAAAGAACTCGCCCAATGTTTCTTGACACAGTTTGCAGGAAGGCGCCGGTCAAGAAAACATTTCTTCCACTTGTTAACGGTGAGGCAAAGGAAGGAGGAGACCCTCCGGGACTTCTTGGAACGTTGGAGGCTGGAAGCAGACAAAGTTGACGGCGACGATGATGGGACCTTTCTGGCTCTTCTACAGATGGTCCTCCACACCGGGAATTTTTCAAGGAGCCTCATCACTGAACCCCCTCGCGATTATATAAGGGCCCTCCAGTGGGAGGACCGGTACGCAGAGGTCGAGGAGGTGGAGAAGTCCCATCGAAACCCTGAACAACAACGCCCCAGGCAGGATGATAGGAACAACCAAGGGTCGGGGGCTCCATTCCATCAATCCAAAGGACAGGCGCCCTCCGTTGATCGCCCCCGGCATGGCCAAGCCAAGCCCGAGGGAGGTTACAAGGGTAACCCGAAGGCTTGGGCACAGCCCATCCCCCTGGAGCACCCTCGGACTCCCCTCACGCAACCCATCAGCGTCATCCTGTATTATGCCGAGGAGAGGGGCCTCGTGGAGCACGACTCCCACGCACCCCTAGAGGTATATGCCGTCAACCCCAATGAACCATACTATCGCTTTTATCGTAACCAAGAGCACATGACCGATGACTGTCACCAGCTGAAGACAGCCATCGAGAAGTTGATACAGGCGGGCCACCTGTCCCTATTTGTCAGGGCCCCCCAACATCAAGGGCCCCCACGAGGGCCACCTGCGAGGGAAAATGATTGGATCAATCCAAACACCATCCCCCTCGGTGACCCAAAGGGTAAGAAAAGAGAGATTGGGATTCTCGACGAGGAGGAAGAATACCACTAGTACCAGGAGAAGAAGCGCCATATGCACATGATCACTAGTGGCAACACGTGGGGAGACTCCACAAGACAAAGAAAGAAGTGGGCGCAGACCCTTTATGTGGGGGAAGTTACTCATATGCCCCCCGTAAAGGGGTTGAGAGAGGAACCCATCATCTTCACCAACGCCGATCTCCCCCCGGTTTCCTCTCCTCACAAGGATGCACTGGTGATCCAAGGTGAGATCAACAACACCATCATCCAAGAACTTACGTTGATACGGGCAGCTCCGTCAACGTAATGTACCTTGGCACATTCAAGGAGCTACTCCTGGAGAGGGAGTCCCTTCGGCCCATCCGGACCCCTCTGTCCGGCTTCATCGGAGATACCATAGATTCCGAGGGGATGATAACCCTCCTGGTGCTCTTCGGCGACGGGCTCCATAGAGCCAAGCTCGAAGTGGAGTTCATCGTCGTCAACATCGACTGCGCTCACAACATCATCCTCGGCCATCCCGCCCTCGAAGACCTAGAGGCTGTCATCTCCATGAGGCACCTATGCCTCAAATTCCCAGCTGAAGGGGGGCATAGGGTACTCAAAGGGGAATCAAAAACTCGCCCGCGCCCGCTACCTTCAAATAACAAAGAAGGTTAGTAAGATTGAGTTCCGTGTTGACACCATCACCGGGAATGGGCTCTCGGCCAACCTAACATAGCAAAAGCGGTCCTTCCAGCCCTTATGCAACGAGGGCGCCTTAGTGAACATCCTCCACTTGGCGATCTGTTGTATGTTTGTGAACCCCTCAGCATTCGCGTGGCCTCCCTGACAGAGGTTGAAGCCCTGAATAAATAAATTGAGGTTGGGGGCCACCCCCGGGACCGGCAGAGGTGCAGGAATCCGGCAATGTAAGAATGGCTGTTAGGAGTCAACTGACAGGGGGGCAAGCCTACATACCAGAGGTATTCAAGGAGGAAGGGATGTAGAGGGACGGGAAGCCCATGGTAACCGAGAGCACGTGAACAGCAATGCACCCCTCGGGAGCCCGGGAAAGTACATCATCGGGTCCTGACTCTACCACCATCGCCGAAGGCCCCACATGCAGTTGCGATACGTAGCATTCGGCCCGATCAGCCCTTTAGTTGATCGACATGGCAACAGTATTCAACCATGAGTATCCCTCAGTAATCCCGACGAGCATCCCAAGATCCGCAACACTCCCCTTCTTCTTCGGGGCCCCCATCTTCATCTTGATCTTCTTTCCCGGGGCCACCCTGAGAGGCTTCGGGTTGAGTGGCCGGGAGGTGCTGGCCTCACCCGCGTTGCGTGGAGGGAGGACGACAATGGTAACCTTCTGCCGCTCCTTTCCTCCTCGGCAGCTTGCACAACGAAGGAAAGCTCTTCATCCTCCATCACCTGCTCGAAATCCTCGGCTTCAGCTTCGGCCATCAGATCTTTTTGCACCTCCACCGCGACGGCTGAGTCGTTAGTTGATGAGGGATCTCCACTGGCTGACCTCTCTTCCGACCAGGACTCGACCTGAACCGAAGGCTCTCCGGAGATGTCTTGGGAATCACTTGGCGAAGACATTTTCGAGGGCTAAAAGTAGAAGGGTTCTAAACAGAAGGCTTTCTATGGAACACTAACACTAGATCTGAGGAAAGCAGAGCTAAGTATGCTACTGAGGCGAAGAACAAAGAGGTGAACTAACCTTGGATGCAGGGTTTGATCGAGTTAGTACTTTCTCTCTCTAGAAATGATTTCGGCAGAGCTTCGCTTCACAAAATTCGCACAAGGCGGATAGAGCCGGCCTTGGGGTATTTATAGGCGCCACACTCTGGACTTGGGCCAAAAATCGGGCCCCCAATGGAAAAATCATCATTGCACACCGTTGCTTCAACCAACGGGTGACGACCGCCCGAAGCCAGCCAACAGCTACGCGCCACGTGGGCAGCCACCTCCAACGGTCATATCCCAGCTGGCACCCCTCAGATAATAACTACGCAAGCCTTCGGGATAACTCTTCCAGAGTCCTTCATCCAGGGTAAACCCCCGGGAACCCTTAGCCCTCAATATATTGAGAACCAGGAAACCCCTCGGCAACTACATGAACTATCATTTGCATTCGTCACACCCTCAGTCCTCAAGGACTGGAGGACTCCCCCTTGGCATCCCCTGGATATCAACAAGGCACCTTCGGCAAATCAGCAAGCAAGCCCCTAGATCAAGGGTAGCCTTCAGCATCAGCATTATACTCATGCCAGGGGTCCATCTTTTCCCCCTTCATCATTGGGGGAACTCGGTGCACTTTTTTTCCCTCATTAGGATTTTTTCCCACACGCTTTTTCCTAATGAGGTTTTTAACGAGTCACCCCCCAAAATGAAACAAAAAACATCAGCCCTCGGTCCTGTAATGAAGGCAGGAACTGTTCTACTCCTTTTCACCATATTACACATGCCTCAAGGAGTGGGGGACTTGAGAGCCCCCTCGGGAAAATCATAAAAATGTTGAAAGTTCCCTAAAACATCAACAAAACCCTTCAGTCCCAAAGTGTTGGGGGACTGAGGGACTACCCTCGGTAAAACAGGCAACACAAACCTCTCACAACTCTACAAACTGCAACGAGGTAAATGCTAGCATCAGAGGACAAACACATTTACTCCTTTTCCCTCAAGTACCTTTCGGCAAAAGGAGTGAGGGACTTCTGATGGAGTATATGGCCCAGGGACCCCCGGCCCATGTACTCCCACTACTGCAATCAGGCCCAACAAACCCAAAACGGGCCAAGCCCAGCAAAATGAAGCTCTAAGCAGCCCACAATACACAGGGAGGTGCCTTCGGCCCCATGTCCGAAGGCTACCGATGACAGAATTGGGCTCAGAAACATCACAGGAGATCAAGGCTTGAAAACCAAGCCTTCGGCACCTGCATGCCCATGGAGCCTTCGACACAGTAGGTACAGCCGAAGGCATCTTCCTCGACAGAATCTCCTCTCCACATGCGCTAGATCACCGTACCAAGTACAAACGTCACATCCAACCACCGCATTTAATGCGGGCACATGCGAGTGCCAGTGCCACCCTAGTTGAGGTGACCCCTCGACCACCAGATTATTGACACGTGTCCCTATCTAGCATTTATTGCTGCTATAAATAGCATTCCCTTTTCTCCATCGTAAGGCATCACAACTTGATCTCGAATTCATATTGAATATACTCTCTCTTGCTTACTTGCTCTGACTTCTTTCTAGTTATTCCCGCAATAACCCCTCGGATAGATACCCCCGAGTATACTATCCATCAGTGGTGTTACATTATAATGTCTCTTTAGCTAAATTACTATCCGCAACGAACAAACATTTATTATAAGTAAAGAGATTTTTACATAAATATTATCAATAGCATATGGGGTTACAAAAAAGTTACTATTAATATGGAGCACGTAAGGCATCATGGGAGTAAGTTTGGGAAAAAAGTCATATTTTTGTTAGTAGGGTTTAAAGTAGTAATATTTGTGTAATTTTTTCATAAGTAAAATAATGAATTATTTACATATTGTGTAAGATATACTACCTTCATCCCTTAAAACTTTGTCAAGTTTGACCGACACGGGGATTAAGAAAGTAAAAACTGTGTGGTTAATGTTTGTGCAGAGTAGAGAAAGGATTAACTGTAATCACAAATTCTTTACTAAAAAGGGAAAGTGACAAAATTAATGGAACATCCAAAAAAGAAAAATTTGACAAAGATTTAAGGGATAAGAGTATATCTTACAAAGTATTCGAACATTCTCAACATGTGTCCGGGTCGAGGTAAAACACTTGTAATTATTGAAATAATGAAATAAAATATCATTAATTTGATTTTACACGTCTATTCGCGTTGGAGATGCTTGTATTCGCGTTTAATGACAACCAGAGCCAATGCCTTAAGCAAGTTTTGTTCAAGTAACAATTACCCCACTTTATTCTCAAAAAGATTGAGATCAGCATTAGTGGGTATTTTTTTTTATCAATTAAATTCGAAGTATACGATCAGGATGATCTTTCTACTTCCAATTACGTGGAAAGCGACAAGAGATTTCGGGGTCTTTTACACAGGTTTTGTTCTTGTTTATTTCCTACCCGAACAAACTGTAATAAAAGAAGACGACGACTAGAAATGTACCTAATAATTCTCCGTAAATGTTTTTACTTTTTTCTTTCTCATTTGCGGTTGTTTTGGATAGTGTTTTTGATGATGTTTGACACTGTGGCGTGTATGGCTGATGTAATTTGTCACTGCTCCAAAGCTGACACAGCCTCCCAAGCTATCCGTAAGAGTAGAAAAGATTTAGACTTTATAATACGGAGTAATAATTTTCGTTTTAATATTTGAATTGAATTTTACGGTTGTTGATTGTTGGTTTTATTATCACAAAAATCATAGATAGATGGATATATGCGAAAGAGAAGATTCTTTAATCACCGTTTTCTTTCTTTTCTTCTTTTTATTATTTTCCTTATTTCCACATTGATTGGTTAGATTTTTAAGAATAGGAATTAGGGTTCCTTTCATTCATTACTCTTACGCATTCTTTTTTTGTGGATTTGGAGCTCCCAACTGGAGTGGACCCTCGATCGGTGTTGATTTTTCTTCAGATTCATCTGTTTTCTCATCTCGGCTGGTAAGTTCATTCCACTTGTTTGGTTTTCATTCGATTTGTTCTTCATTCTGGGATCTAGTTTGTTAAAAAATTTACTATTGAGTTCTTCTTGGTAGAATAGGGTTTAGTTATGGTTTCAGAAGATTTTAGCTTTTGATATTTTTGGAACCTTGACTTCTGCTTCAGAGTTCAAACTTCAAAGGAGTTGGGTGGTATGGTGAAGGGAGTTTTGGCAGTTGATATAAGGCTGGTTATTTTGGATATGCAATGTTTTCTGGGTTTCCACATTCTCACATCATAAATCAAAGAGATTGAAGCAAATTTGCAGTCAATCCTGATGTATTCTGTTCCGGGGACACCCAAACATAGTTGCAGCCTGCTAGCAGTTGTGTTTGGTAGAGGTGCTGAGAATAAACACACCCAAGATGTTGTAGATAATAGGCCAAGATATCCATTCCCAGAGATAGCATCATCTGGTCATTTGGAGGTGTGAGATTCACACATTGCTTTAATTACCGTGTTTAGATTTCTAAATTTAGCTGTTATAGAAGTTTGGTGTAAAAATAGGGTTGAGATATATTTTTACTCATTGCAGGTTCAACTTTTAAAAAATCCCAGCTCGGATGAATTTCGTCGGGCTGTGGATTCAGTGAAACCATATATTGTCTTTTTGCAAGGAGAGCATCCAAACGAACAGCTTGGCACATTAGTGTGGGAAGGTTTTAACCTTTCTTCTGAAGAATCAACTTCTGGGCTTTCAGGTTCCAAATTTCCAAGCACAGTATGTGTCTCACCTTTCATTCTTGTAGGGTCCATTTAGAACTCAGAAAATGCTAGGGAAAGAATATATGGTGGAAATATGGGGGATATGTGGAAGGAAAGAAAACATGAGGTAAAATAGAAATTTGATTCAGACTGAATAAATAAGTTTTGATATTTGTTCAAACACATCTATGTAATTACTTCTATTATAACATGTAATAATCGTAGCTTGTATATACTCATTAAAACATTATTTATTTTCCATTTACCATTGCAGTTTTCCAAGGTAAAACCAATCACAGGAAAATAACTTTTGGTAGCAAATTTTCCCTCTAGCATTTTTGGTGATTAAAACACACCCTTTTTGTTTGCATGTATACAAAACAGTCAGACTTTTCCTGTAACCCATCCATTTACCCTAATAACTTTTGCCCATGCCAAATTTTGCATTAAATGCTGATCTGCAAATTTGTCTTTACTGATTTTACTGCTTAGTTCCATAATAGAATCTCCCTTTGTAATGCCTTTAAAAGAATTTCTGGAATCTATACTTCAAGGTTCTAAAATGCTTGTTGGCCGTTGTAGCTTTATGATTTGGAGCTATCTTCCTATTTTATACCTAGTATTATCTATGGGTGCTTACTCTGCAGATACTGTAACAGCCTCTTTGTTAGGCATGAAAATGAAATTATTTTTCTGCCTTTCTCCCACTTTGTAGGGATTCCATAGTTTGTTAAATAGGTAGGAGTATTTCAAAGGAAATCCAATTCCTTTAAATCAAGGAAGAAAGCATCCTAAACCCCCCAACCCGAAAGTGATATTTTCCCTGTTAAATGGGGGAAAAATGTAGAGGACTGATCAAATTACCCTCCAACATCAGAATAAACTTCCCATATTTTTTTCAGCCTACAAAACAGTTCTAGTTTGAATAACTTTTTTATAATTTTCCTTTAGAATTCAAATCCCATTTCCCATCTATTCCTTTCCGCGTACCAAATGAGCTGTAATAGAAAATCTGAGGTGCCTGCTTTATTTTTTTGTACTTATTTTACAGGTACCTTAGTTGAATATCATATGGTACTTCTCTAAGGGCTGTAATGTGCAAACTCCTGTAGTCCTATACTCCTATGCTATATTTTCAACTTACTGGATACTTTTGACATATACTGCTTTATGATTCTTTAAATCCATTTGCTCTCTGAATTCTCAAGCTTCTTTTTCTATTATTTTCTGATCAGTCTTTGTTTTTTCTTAATCCATTTGCTCTTTCCAGTTTCAGAGTAACTATTTTTCAAGTTCTTGATTTTATTTTGTATCACAAACTATCCAGGTTTATTTGGAGCTCCCAGAAGGAGAAGAATTGGCTGAGGCTCTTCACTCCAAGGTAACTACCAAGCAATATTTAATCCAAAGTTGTTGAGTAGAACTATGAGGAGCATATAATGATATCTAGCAACCAAACACGGTATAATTCTTTCAGGGAATTCCTTATGTGATATATTGGAAGAACATGTTTTCCCGCTATGCTGCCTGCCATTTTCGTCATGCACTGTTCTCGGTTTTCCAGAGGTAATCTTATTTTTACGCATCCTTGAGACTGAAAATGTTAGGAGAAGGAAAAAGTACTAAGGATATTGGTTTCTTTCTAATGTTTGGTTTTGCGTTGGAAAACAGAAAGTAAAATCAAATTTGATAAACGAATTAATTCCACTTTTGGTCCTATGAATTTATGTCAATTTCACATTTAGTACACGTCTTTCACTTTGTCCATTTTTGGTACTTGACTAATATTTATTGACCATTTGTAGTCCTTTTCCGGCGATTTTAACTACTGGAAACATTGATAGAAGGACCATATACGGGTGAAAAACTGAAAACACGTTAGTCAAGTACGAAAAGTGGTCAGAGTTAAAGACGTGGACCGATTGTGAAATTGGTGCGATACTCATGGGACCAAAAGGTGGAATTAATTCTATGATAAACCTTCTATAAGTTTCACATAAACTTAGATTCTTGGATATTATATAAGTGATCTTTAAAGAAAATTGGTTTGAACAATTACTTGAATTGATTTCTGGAGTACGAAGCAAGTATTTTATTTTGCATCAAATTTTCTGTTATTCCATTTTTTGTCAAATTTATTTTACCAACATTTTCTGGGTTCCAAACGGATCCGTTGTGTTCATACTTCGTAGTTGTTTATTAACTTTTCTTGTTTTCTGAACTTCTGAAGTTCATCTTGTCACACGTGGGATGCGTTCCAAGTAGCGCATGCTTCATATAGGCTCTATTGTGCCCATAACAATACCGTTCTCTCTGAGAATAGCCAAATGGTTGGTGAAAAGATGCCCCCTCAGATCCTTGGAGATCCCCCAAAGGTCGATGTTTCTCTGCCAGAGGCAGGTGATGAGGATGAAGAAGAAAGCTCATCTGGATCTCTTTCTGCCATCAAGTTCTATGATGATGATGTGAACATGAGGTTTCTTGTTTGTGGAATGCCACACTTGTTGGTAAGAGAAATATATATATATTTTTCTTTTCCTTGTATATGTTTATGAATCGAAGGGAGCCTTGGCGCACCTCTTCAGGTGTTTGTGTGACCGAGAGGTCACAAGTTTAGGTCTTGGGAGGCAGCTTCTTGTAAAAAAATGACAAAGCAAGGCTTGCCACCTATATTCCCCCGTGGCAGGACCCTTCCCGGACCCTCGCCCTGTGGGACACTACTGTGTGCCAGGATGCCCTTTATTTTTGCTAATGTGTGTCGGGCTGCCCTTTTTAATGAGAAAATGGTCAAAACGGTACATGAAGTTGTTTCAATTGGAGTAAGTAGGACTTCATCTTACACTTGAAACTACAAAGTACATAAACTTGCATTTTTAAAGTTGATTAAGTACATTTGCTCTGTTAAAATAGCTGAGCTGGCCAAATTATCAGTTTGTAATATATCGTTGCAGTCCAAATCATTATCAAATAATTAATCTATAAACTCTAATTTCCTCCAGTTCACTCGTTTCCACCTCTGCTCTTCATTTTATATTTCTCACATTTGCTCTCCATTCTCTCGCTCTTCATCTTATATTTCTCCGTCTGCTCTCCAAGGGCGGAGCCAGGGCACTGGGCCGGACTGGAGCAGTACAAATAATATTTTTGGAAAAAATTACACAAAATTTTTACATTAAAATCAAAGCATTTTTTAAATTTGAGGTAGGCTAGGGCCTAGGTTGCCCCCCTCTAGCTCTGCCCGTGCTGCTCTCCTTCTCTTTTGTCTTCTCTTCCTGCTATCCCGTCGGCTTCTTCTTTTATTTGTTATCGGTCCATCTTTATCATAGCAAGAGAAGAAGCCGACATGATAGTAGGAAGAGCAGACGGGAGAAATATAAGATGTAGAGCGGAGAGAAGGGAGAGCAGATGAGAAAAATATAAGATGAAGAGCGAAGGTGAAAAGAGTGTACGGGAGGAAAATAGAGTTTATAGATTAATTATTTGATGACTTGGACCACAACTGTATAATACAAACAGATAGTTTGGTCAGGTTAGCTATTTTAACGTTCTCTCAGAACAAACGTACTTGATTGACTATAAAAATACACGTTCATGTACTTTAAAATTTCAAATGCAAGATGAAGTACTAACTCCCTTCCAAACAATTTCTTGTACCATTTTCTCCCTTTTTAATGTATACTCATGGACCGATCTATTTTTATTCAGGATACTTGTCTATTGGATTCCCTGGAAGATGGGCTCAATGCCCTTTTAACCATAGAGGTGAGTATCTAAATCAGTATATTTGTCATATAGTCAAGCTACTTCATCACTTTTAGAAAGAAGGAATAGTGGTATAAAAAGGTGGCAACATATATTAAACATATTTTAAATTTTAGTCAAATCCAAATGGGTTACCAGGTTTTGTTTTTTTTTTGTTTAAATACTGAGGAGCTGTTTCCATCATTTGCAATGGAGCCAAAGATTCATTATTTTTTGGCTTGAGATTATGATGGAATAAAGCAAAATGGCTCACTAAACTGTCTGCGCTTCTTTGTTATGAAGCAGCAGTCAGTCCATGCAATTTTGGACGGGATTTTCACTATGGGTCATCCGGAAATAGTCTCTCTGTGCTTTAGTACATGGGTAAGATTGCGTACATCCGACCCCCTTACCCCACCGTAGGTGGGAGCCTTTGCGGCACTGGGGTAAATGAAAATGATGATGAAATCCTGAGGAGCTGATTTTATTCCCCTCATTTTATATAAACTTGCGTTCTCCAGGACCACCCTTCCAGACAAAAAAAGGGAGGAATGCAAATGCAGTAATCTCCAATGAAAAATTTCACTTGATTGGCTGTGTTCAGAATAATTTCCAATAAATGGTTGATGTATTTATCGTCTCTTAGCCTTTGTTTGGCTGAGGCATTTTGGAGGGTAGGAAAGGGGTGGGGTTGATATTTATTCAATTAAGTTATTCTTACTCTAGGTGGTTGGGAAAATGTGAAGATGAAGTTACATAAAAATGTTAAACAACATTATATAACAACATATATAGTTCTATTCTAGGCTCAGAGTCTCAGACTAACAAACAGAGAAAAGTTAGTAAAATAACTTCCTCACGGTCCCATTTTAAATCCCGCAACTAAAAAAGCCTGATTGTTTAAAACCTGATATTTGATTTAACTGAAACTCATTTATTTAATTTATTTATTCTGTTTCTAGATGCGGGGGAGTAAGCTCCATAACAGGGCCAGGTATGTTCTAGCAATTTAATTTCACTTATGCTTTTACTGTTTTCATTCCCCCCCCATCATTCTCTATTCAGAACACAATAACTTCTTGTGATCTCATTAAATTGTTAATCCCTATAACTGCTGCTATAAATGTGGTTGCAGTGCCCTTCCACCACCACTTGAGGCAGGCACAGTTTCTCGCGGAGTGGTTACTATGCGTTGTGATATATCAACCAGTAGTTCTGCTCATATTTCTGTTCTTGTGTCGGGCAGTGCTCAGACATGCTTCGATGATCAGGTAATCCCAGCACCATTTACCTTACAATGGATACCAAAAAATGACTTGAAAAAACTTAACCCAATCCAAAAAGATTCACAGATCAAATTTATTTGTCCCCAAAAAAGAGTCAAGCTGGATTAAATGAATAAAGATAGTTTTTTTATGTAAAATAAAAATTTGCCAAAGAAGAGTTACAAACAAGTTTCATATAGAAAATCTGTTAAGCCAAAGATAAATATTAAAAAATAGGTATGAATATGATTCAAGATCATTGCCGTGTCTTATCTTGCTAAAAATTTAAGTCTTATATCAGTCTAACTGGACCTTTTTGAGGACTGAGGTAGTAATAACTTATTTCTTTATTCATTCATGCTCAACACTGTGGGCATATATAAATATATTTATATATTCCCCCCCAGCTTTTAGAGAATCATATAAAAAGGGAAATCATTGAAAAGACTCGAATCGTGCAAGCTGTGCCAAATGGGAAAGAACGATGGCTGATACCTTTACCTGAACCTCGAAGATCTGTTTCAATAGCTTGTGGTGCGGCAACTTTTGAAGTTTGCATGAGGGTCCCTACATGGGCTTCACAGGTTCGAACTTTGAATTTTATAACTTCTCATTCTTCCCATACAATATATGCTTTGGGTTTTTTAGTTGCACCACTTGTGCATGAAAATCATGTCTACTAGTTGCATGGTGCTTACATCTTATTATAAGCATAAACAAACTTTTAGTTCTGTATCATAAATAAAATAAGAGCTTAAAGTATGCTCTTATTTGAGAAGACATATAACCCATAGACATGAACTGTAGCATTTTATAAATTTCCCACTTATGACCCTAATGTTTTGAAACTAACTACCCTTATTAATCTTTTAGTTATTTAAGAAATCTCTTTGTATATCTTTTCATCACACATTTTATCTATTCAACAGTGATTTTTCGCAAAAACCTAGCCACAATTATTAGCTTTCAGATAGTAGTTTTTCCAGCTTGGCATGCCAAACAAACCCTTAGGTTCTATTGAGTATTATAATTTGGATTTGTAAGATGTACTAAAATGCTAGTGGCTTCCTCATCAAGACATCGCGTACTTTTGAATCTAAATAGTTACTTTTATTAATGGAGAATATTTTGGCTACAAAGTTTTTATGTTAGCCGCTTGGCCCCAAATTCAAAAAAAAAAAATTAAAGAGTTCATTTAGACCAGTGTCCACCTATTATGCATTTATCCAATCCTTATTTTTCACTACGTCTTTGTTTTGCAAACCACTTCCAGGTTCTAAGGCAACTAGCACCCGATTTTTCATATCGTGGTTTTGTAGCACTTGGGATCGCTAGCCTTCAAGGAATAGCTGTTGCCACCTTTGAGAAGGAAGATGCAGAACGGATCCATTTCTTTTGCACAGAACAGCCAGGGAAGGATCCCCACCCTAAAGATAGGCATATGAACACCAGCATCACACTCCCGATCTGGTTAAGATCTCCTCCTCCCACCAGAAAGAGGTCTTCTTCAATGTACTTGGTATCTAGCCTAAATAATCAAGAGGGGAAGGGAAATGGGCTAGTCATGCCTACTGGCCCCTCCAGGAAAAAACTGAAATGTACTGCAATGAGACCCGTTCCTCATGTCCATCACCAAAAAATGGTTCCCTTCTCTTCCAGAATTTCAGAGGCAGAGGCTCGTCGTGATGGGACTCAGTTTGGTAAATCATATTTGCCTATTAGCTCTTCAACGAAAGCCGGTAATGTTGGGGTTACTCCTGTTAGTCAACGGAAATCATTGTCAAGCTCACATCAGGCAAAGCAAATTATATCTTTGAACCCCCTCCCCCTGAAGAAGCACGAGTGTGATAGAAGTCCCATACTTGTTTGCTCTGAGGTAGTCGCTTTATTTTCTTTTAGCTTTGAAAAGGACTTATCAATATAAGTGTTGCCCTTAATAGATGATAATTGTTCTCTAACCTTAATGAAATTGCACTTCCCTTCTCACTAGCTCTTTCTCTTGTTTGTCTTCTGGCAGGAGGAATTCCTTAAAGATGTAATGCAGTTTCTTATACTTCGTGGACATACTCGTCTCGTTCCTCAAGGTGGGCTTGCTGAGTTTCCTGATGCCATACTGAATGCCAAGCGTCTTGACCTATTCAACCTGTATAGGGAGGTGGTGGCCTTTTCTTTGATTTTTTTTATAAACTTTAAAACTTGCCAATAAGCATCTCTTTAACTATAATGGGAATGTCAAAAATATTCCTACAGGTGGTTTCTAGAGGCGGTTTTCATGTTGGAAATGGCATCAATTGGAAAGGACAAGTTTTCTCAAAAATGCGCAATCACACTGTGACAAATAGAATGACTGTAAGACCTACTCTTCTTTGTAATAAGAGTCAATACTCCATCTGCCCCAAGAACAGTCTTGTTTGAAAAATTATCTATTGCCCCATAAAGAAGTCACAAAAGAAGTTATTTTTCTTTGAATTTAGTGTAATCTTTCCAAAAAAATTGTTCCAAACAAGGAAACTATGGTACATTTATTTTAAAATATTAAGTGGAAAAACAATTGATTCTTAACAAGTTTTGTACCTTGACGAAACATGATTTTTTAAGGACAGGATAATAAAATTGATGAAACCTTGATAACTTGTGATTGTCAAGTTTTGTAACTCAGAGTATACTTTACAAATCTTTTACCTTCACATAACATGATTTATTTCATAATTCATCTGTTTTTCATGATTTTTTCTGGTTAATAGGGTGTTGGAAATACACTTAAAAGACATTATGAAACATACCTCCTGGAGTATGAATTGGCTCACGATGATGTTGATGGGGAATGTTGCTTGCTGTGTCACAGGTCAAGTATCAGTCAGTGCTTGATTCATTAAGCTATGTTTTCCACATCATAATAAGCTAGCTCATATGTTGCCTGTTAGCTTTAATGGAAGCTTTTTAAATAAGTGTTCTTTTGCTGGGAACTTTTTTAAAAACTTGATTTGTTTTCAGTACGTTTCTTGGTGTAGCTAAAAGTTGTTAGGAAGCTTTTCACATAAGTTGTCAGCTATAAGTTGCTAATTAACTAATCCTCCATAAGAGTAGCTAAAAGCTAGATCATTAGCTTGTTTTGCCAAACATAGAGTTACTCATGTGTATGCTTGGGAATATCTGGACTCTAAACACTAATACTTTATTTTGAATCTTTTACAGTAGTGCTGCTGGTGATTGGGTCAATTGTGGGATGTGTGGTGAGTGGGCACATTTTGGCTGTGATAAAAGGCCTGGTCTTGGTGCCTTCAAGGTAAACCTCATACTATCTATATATACCATTCAACTACTTTCTCTAAAACCATTTCTACTGAAACCCCCTTGCATACATGTGGAACCAGCAGGGTGGGCCCTTGACTTTAGAAGAAAAAAGAAACCCTGATTGGTTTATATATATATATATATATATTGTTGATAAAACGAAGAGACATCATTAATCTAGGATTTATTTTCCTTATTATTACTGTAATTATGTGTCTTTAGTGCTTCAGGTTGTATTTAATAGCTGCTGTCTTTTCAGTTCTCAATCAGTTATGTTTAGTATTTAGACAGTCACCTAGGGTGCTGAATAGACTCTCTCAGGATTCCTATCTGTATAAATAGCTTATGTACTTCTTGTAAATGGATTAAAAGGAAATAATATTCAGAAAACTTCATGGTATCAGAGCTTGGTTTCATCTAAGCCTTTTTTGAGTCTATCACCTCTCCAACGGTCATTTTTTGGGTGTCTCTACCCTTCTCTCTCTTTAACTCCCGATGGAGTCTCTTCATCAAGGGTTTTATCATGTCTAAAGAAGCCGAATCAGCCTCAAGTAACCTTGATCACTCAACCATTGTTTCAGCTGCTACTGCAGCCGCGTTTGCTCTTCGAAACCAGAAATTTGATCTCCCTTCTATCCCGCCATCTTACCGTCTCAATGGCAGGAACTATCTTGGGTGGTCAAAGCTGGTTTACACTCTCCTACGTGGCAAAGATCTTGAAGACTATCTCACTGTCTCTACCCTAGAAGAAGGAGAGATTGATGCTGCTATTTGGGAGAAAACTAATGCCAACATACGGGTCTGGTTATGGGACTCTATGGATCCCAACATTAGCCGTACATGTTTATACATGGACTCGGCCAAAGAAATCTGGGATTTCATACAGCAGTCCTACTCTGTTGCTAAAGATGGCGCTTTTGTCTATGACTTATGGTTCAAAACAACGAATCTTAAGCAAGATTCACAATCTGTCACATATTATGCAACTGACCTCCAACGACGATGGTCTGAACTTGACCAGTATAAAACGATGAAGTGGTCGAATGCTGCAGATGCAGCTCTTCACAAGAACTATATAAATCAGCAACGTCTATATTGCTTCTTGTCTGGTTTAAATCCCGAATATGATCAGACTCGGGGTCAAATTCTTGGCATTACTCCTCTGCCTTCCATATCTTCTGCCATTGCCACTATCAAACATGAAGAGAGCAGACGCAATATAATGATGAATACAAATCTGATTGACAGTACAACTCTTGCTGCCAAATCTACTCCTTCAGATGTTAAGGAAACTAAGGGTAGTAAGGGAGGAAGATGGTGTGATCATTGCAAGCGGTCCAACCATAATGTGGATACATGCTGGAAATTTTATCCTCATCTACAGAAAGAAAGAAAAAGCCAGGACAGACGTGGAACTAGTGCTGGACGTGCCAACTCAGTCACTCCCACTATTGTTGAGAGCTCTACTAATCTTTGACCCATTTCCCAGGAGGAATTAAAGCAACTTCGTATGATGTTACAGTCTCTTAATAACTCAAATGGTTCTGGTCATAACTCTTTGGCCCTGCAAGGTAAAACCTCTACTATTTTTTGTCTTAATGCTTCGGAACAGAGTTCACAATCCCAATGGATATTAGACTCAGGTGCCACACATCTCATATGACTGCCATACCCTCTTTACTCTCTAATTATCATCCATGTTTTACATCCACACACATTACTACTGCTGATGGGACACCTACAAAGGTTGCGGGACTTGGTACGGTTGTTTTTTCTGAAAAATTAAATCTGAAAAACACCCTACATGTCCCAAACCTGGCTATGAACCTTGCTTCTATTTACAAACTCACGGTTGTTCTTAATTGTGCTGCCATTTTTTTCCCTTCCCACTGTTTATTACAGGATCTACACACGGGGAGGACGATTGGAATTGCTAAACAAAGAGATGGCCTGTACTACCTTGATGCACTGTTTGTCTCCAAACCTCCACAAAAAGCTCTTACCACAATCACAGCCAATACCAACACTATTTGGCTTCACCACAAGCGCCTTGGTCATCCCTCTTTTCATGTCCTAAAAACCATGCTTCCTAGTCTTTTTAGTAGTATTGATGTTTCTACATTTCAATGTGATGTCTGTGAAGTTGCTAAACAGTCTCGTGTATCTTTTTCTAGAAGTAATACAATCAGTTGTTCTCCTTTTGATATTATACATAGTGATGTCTGGGGTCCTGCTCCAATTGCTAATATATCTGGTGCCCGATGGTATGTTACATTTATTGATGATTGTACACGTTTTATGTGGGTTTTTCTGCTAAAAAACAAGAGTGAGGTGAGTTCCATCATTCCTATCTTTTGCAATATGATTCATAATCAGTTCTCCGCCACAATAAAACGCTTCCGCACTGATAATGCTCTTGAATACTTCAATCAAACTGTTTCCTCTTATTTCTTCTCAAAAGGCATTGTTCATGAGTCCTCTTGTCCGTACACACCACAACAGAATGGCACAGCAGAAAGAAAAAATCGTCATCTCCTAGAAGTCAGTCGAGCTTTATTGTTTCAATCAAATATGCCTAAACACTATTGGGGGGAAGCCACACTCACAGCATGTCATCTCATCAATAAAATTCCCAGTCGGGTACTCCAAAATAAGTCACCCCTTGAATCTCTCCGTCACTTCTTTCCTCAAACCAGAATTTCTTCTGATCCTGATCTAAGGGTGTTTGGGTGTACTGCATTTGTTCATATTCCTCCACCTCATAGGGGAAAATTGGACCCACGATCTATTAAGTGTATCTTTCTTGGTTATTCTCCAACTCAGAAAGGATATAAGTGCTATAATCCTACAACCAGAAAGACATACACAAGTGCAGATGTGACCTTTCACGAAGACACACCTTTTTACACTCCTACTTCTCTCCCTGTATCCCAAGATACTCCACATCCTTCACCTCTGCCCACCTATACTATTACATCTTCTCCACTACATACAATCTCCTACCCTCCTAAGCCTTTATCACCAGACATCCCACCACCACATGATCATCCATCACCTTCCTTAGATGTGTCAGCAACCTCACCTACTTCCCAACAGTCATCAACATCACCTGAACCTCAATCAAATACACCACCAGACCATCCCATTCCTACACTTACTAAATCCACCACTCATGACCCATCTTCTCCTCTACCAGTGACAAAAGTGTACTCAAGGAAAAACAGGTTCACTCCATTGTTGTCGCATGACCAATTGGCTGACCCAGGTAATGTCTCTTCTTCTCCACCACCATCTCCGCCAATTGCTTTACGCAAGGGTGTACGTCAATGTACCAAAACACCTCTATACCCTCTTGCTAATTTTGTTACCATCGATAACTTCTCTCCTTCACATGCCTTGTTTGTTCAGAGACTTAATGAAATTCCCATACCCAACTCTGTTTCTGAGGCATTAGGAAAGAAAGAATGGAGGGATGCTATGCAAGAGGAAATTAGAGCTCTTGAAAAGAACCATACTTGGGATATTGTGACTAAACCTCCTGGGAGGCATCCTCCTGGGAGGCATGTTGTTGGTTGTAGGTGGATCTTTACTGTCAAATACAAGGCTGATGGATCTCTTGAGCGGTACAAAGCTCGTCTTGTGGCTAAAGGATACACTCAGACGTATGGGATTGACTATCAAGAGACCTTTGCTCCTGTAGCTAAGCTCAATACTGTCCGTATCCTACTATCCTTGGCATCTCACTTTGATTGGCCTTTATTGCAATTTGATGTCAAGAATGCTTTTCTCCACGGTGACTTGCATGATGAGATCTACATGTACATTCCCCCAGGCTTTAATAAAACATCAACAAGAACCTCTACACATGTATGTCATTTAAAAAAAGCCCTCTATGGTCTCAAGCAATCCCCTCGTGCTTGGTTTGACCGCTTCACACAGGTTGTTCTTGCCGCTGGGTATAGTCAAAGCCAAGGGGATCATACATTTACAAACACTCTCGCCCAAATGGAGTCACTATTCTTTTAGTATATGTGGATGACATCATTGTGACGGGTAATGATCCAGTTGAGAAACAACCTCTTGAGGGGCAGCTGAAATCCAAATTCGAGATGAAGTCTCTTGGCCCTCTAAAATACTTTCTTGGAATTGAAGTTGCTCGCTCATCTGAAGGCATCTTTATCAGCCAACAAAAGTACATTACATATTTGTTAAATGAGACTGGTAAGAGTGCTTGTCGACCGGTTAATGCACCTATGGATCCTAATCATAAGCTTGGACTTGCTACTGATGAACCCAAGGTTGATTCATCAATGTATCAACGCTTGTGTGGCAAACTTATCTATCTCTCTCATACTAGACCTGACATTGCCTATGCAGTTAGTGTCTTGAGTCAGTTCATGCATGATCCAAGGAAACCACATCTAGAAGCAGTCTATAGGGTTCTTCACTACCTAAAAGAAAGTCCAGGGCAAGGGATAATATTCAGGAAGGGTGGGCAATTATCAGTCCAAGCCTTCACTGATGCAGATTATGGTGCTCCCTCGTTGACCGCCGGTCAACTACTGGTCTTTGTGTTTTCCTAGCAGGAAACCTCGTGACATGGAGAAGCAAAAAACAGAATGTTGTGGCACGATCATCTGCTGAATCTGAGCTAAGAGCTCTTGCCCATGGCTTATGTGAACTTCTATGGATCAGAATTATTCTCTTAGATTTACGAATCAGCATATTGAGACCAATGGAATTGAGGTGTGATAACAAATCAGCAATCAACATAGCTCATAATCCAGTCCAACATGATCGGACCAAGCATATTGAGATTGATAGGCACTTTATCAAAGAAAAGGTTGAAGGAGGTCTGATCGAACTAAGCTACACTCCCTCAGAAGATCAAGTTGCAGATGTGTTTACCAAACCTCTGCACAGTCCTAGGTTCCAGGGTCTTATTGTCAAGCTACGCATGACGGATATCTACAAACCTAGCTTGAGGGGGAATGTTGATAAAACGAAGAGACATCATTAATCTAGGATTTATTTTCCTTATTATTACTGTAATTATGTGTCTTTAGTGCTTCAGGTTGTATTTAATAGCTGTTGTCTTTTCAGTTCTCAATCATTTATGTTTAGTATTTAGACAGTCACCTAGGGTGCTGAATAGACTCTCTCAGGATTCCTATCAGTATAAATAGCTTATGTACTTCTTGTAAATGGATTAAAAGGAAATAATATTCAGAAAACTTCATATATATATATATACATTGACTGACGTGCAGGATTATGCAAAGACAGACGGATTGGAATACATATGTCCTCAGTGCAGTATATCCAAGTTTAAGAAGAAAACTCAGAAAACGACAAATGGCTATTCTTGATGCTTAACACGATGACCCTTGTTGGGTTTATTACTTACTAATCCTGATTCTTGTTTGATTTTTTTATTTCTCCCCCTTTTGTCCCTTTACATAGCTAGCTTCTTCAGTGACGTTTTAGGATTTGGTCTTATTATTAGCAGGCAAATGGCCAGGCTGTGATTGATATTTAGGCAATAGTCACGTTTAACTAAGGTGTTGGGGAGAAGTAGAACATAATAGGAAAATAGAAGAGCAATTAAACAGTTCAATGTGAAGGAATATATATCATAAGCCATGTTTTTGTAATTGTAGCAATATATCAATGTAGTTATTTGTAACAACAGTTTAATATTTGGGTTTCCACCATGCGCTCATACGCAGCCTTTGTGTAGATCTGCAAGTCTTGAGTCTTGTCCATTCGGTGTAGTTTATTGCATGAATGTGTTATTACGCTTGTTTTCCTCATTTAAGCATTCATGGTATTGGTTCCTTTCTGTAAAAAACATTTTGCCTTCTCAAATAAACAAAATTTGTCTTCGAAGATAAAGTATTTTATTTTTATTTTAGATAAGTATTTGTTTACTAATATTGTCATCCCATATGTACCTATTAAGTTTCACGTATGAATTTATAAATCCACAAAGAAGGCATTAGGTTAACTATAAGGACCAAGATTAAATATGCTGAAACAAGCTAACCATTTTGTTGAGGCATACTAAACATATAACGTTTGTTAATTCCATAGTCTCAGTTTCTCAGACAATGATGCCAAGTAGGGGTGGACTCGGGTCCGGGTCGGGTCTGGGCCGGCGGTTCAGGAATGGTTGACCTGGGACCGGCCAGGGTAGCCATCGGGTCCGATCCGGGTCTGGGCTTCTGGTTTGGGTATTTTTTTTTTGCATTCCTAACCCCCTCACCCTACACCCTCCCAAACCCCCCAAACCCATCCTAACCATCAAGCCCAACCCGGGTGGAACCCCAAAAATGAAAAAAAAAATCAATTTGGCCCGGGCTCGGGCCTGACCCGACTGGGCCGGTTCGCCAAATGTGAGACCCGAGCCTGGACTCGTCCTACCCCCGGGCCTAGGCCCGACCTGGACTCGGACCTGAGAACCAGGCTGGTCCCGGTCCTGCACATAGCGGTATGGATGGACTCGGGGCGGGTGGCCCGACCCGGAACTGGCCCGGGACCGGCACTGTTTCGGCCCGGACCGACCCGGTGGCCCGGTCAGTGACCGGTCCAGGTAGGCTCGGCCCGTGGGTTTTCCGGTCCGGGCTCGGGTCACCCAAAACAAGGCCCGACCCGGCCGGGCCCGGCCCCGGGTCCGGTTCGGGCCAAAACCTATTTTTTTTTCATTTTTTTTAAATTTTCGGGTTGGGCTGGGTATTTTGGGCCATTTGGGGTGGTTTGGGGTGTTGGGGGTGGGAGGGGGGTTAATTAGGAAGAGGAAAACAAAAAACAAATGATAATGGGCCCGGCCCGGACCTGGACCGGACCCGGGCCGGTTCCGAGTCCACCATTTCTGAACCGCCCGGGCCTAGGCCCGACCCGGACCCGGCCCGGACCCGAGTCCATCCCTACACAGCGGGCCGTTCCGGTCCATGGGCCGGGCCGGTCCATGGGCCGTTCCGGTCCATGGGCCGGGCCGGTCCATGGGCCGGGCCGGGCCGGTCCACGGGCCGGGTGGCCCGACCCGAGTCCAACACTAATGCCATGTATTTGAATCATTTCGACAATTAGATGGTTTCTTTTATTTGTCGTGTAACTTCATTTGATATACTAATTCAATACATAAGACGGGTTGGTGATATAAAACTGGTAAATGAGTTTAGATGAAATGGCAATGATTTCATATGGAGGGGTTTCATACTTTCATTATGCTTTTTTAATATGCGCGAGTATGTTTGGAATCCGGGCAAATATAATGTTGTTTTATTGTATATGGTCGCAATTTCTTTTTTGTTTGTTTTTAATCTTTTTGATGTATGCTGTTTTTTTTAATTCCTCACTTATCCAAATTGCTCGTCTCAAAATGGAATAATCTCGGCTAACAGATTTCTATGTGGAGCAAAACGTCTAAATAGAATGAACATACACAAATGAGCTTTTGAATTTTTGAAAATTCATTTTGTAAGTTATGTATGTCCATTTAGTACTTTTGTTATGCTCATTTTAAAATGTTATATCAATGCATATTTCAAAAGTCTTATATTACATTAGATTCACATAGAAGTTGATTATAGACATGAGACCACAAATCATGATACTCAATTGCACGATTCTAATACTCAATAATGAAGTTTTGATGCTCACTGAAAATATCTTGATGCTCAACGAACAAAACTTACAATTTTCATATCAATGTTCATCTTGTAAGTTACATATGCTCATTTGTATAGGTCTGATGCTCATTAAAAACTCATTAATGATTATTTAACAGAAATCATGATTTCCACCGATCTCAATAAAAGATGTTTGATGCTCAATGAAAGTGTCGTGATGTTCAACTAACAAACTTTACGATTTTCATATCAATATAATAGGTTTGATACTCATTAAAAGTTCATTAATGCTCATTTAGCAGAAACCGTGATTTTCATCTCTAAAGCAGGGGTTTGATGCTCAATTAAAATGTCGTGATGTTCAACTAACAAATCTTACGATTTTCATATCAATGTGCACTTTGTAAGTTATGTATGCTCATTTGGTACTGATGTTATACTCATTTTAAAATGTCATATCAATGCATATTTCAAAAGTATCATATTACATTACACTTGCATATTGAAATTAATAGGAGTGAATTATAAATATAATTTAATAAGTTTTTATAAAAGAAAAAAAAGAAAAAGAATTAGAAGATATGAGGAAGAGATCGTGATACCCATTGTTAGTCTCCTAATACTCAATAAAACATGTGAGATACTCATTAAAAGTAAACTATTGCTCATTTAGCGGAAGCTGGTATTTTTCGCTTAAATTACAAAAATGTCAATGATTTTTTTGGTCTGTAATAGTTATTGGGCTATCTTTCTTAGTTGGGTGACTTGGGTCGGGTGTACATACATCCAGATATATGATATAGGGACTCACACTCCCTTAACCCCTTACCTAAAAAATCGTGTCATTTATTCACAAGAACCTTCAATAGAACGGAGCGAGTATTTTAACTATTGACATTAATGCATTTTTTGTTATCGAAAATTCATTTAATCTGCATGCATTAATTAAATAAATAAAAGTAAAAAGAAGTACTTGGATGAAACCAATCCCAACGAATCGTTGTCTCCTTAAGACGAATTTGATTAACGGTTTCTACGTTCCCGAAGGACACTGGTGAACTCAAAGATGCAGCTTTATCAATGGATGATCAAAGGAAGAAGATGAAGATGGTAGGAGGATTTTCCGGTTAATAGAAATGCATGCAACCATGGGTATATATAGAGCTCTAATCAGGTGAATCTACACTCAAAAGACACCTTTAGAAAGAATAATTGTGACCCTTTCTTGTAAAACAAAAAGTTTGTGTCTATTAGGAGTATTAGCCATGTACTTGGGTCGGTCGGTTTAAGACCGTTACTCGAAACCCGACCCTGCCGGCCGACCGGTGGCAGCGGTACATGCATGTGAGATATAATTTCACGCTTATCTTTCAGTGGACAATTTTTCATTCATTTCAAAATGGTTTTCTGCGAATAATATATATGAAAACGTTCATCTCATGGAGTACAATATGTTAGATCTTAGTCATATTAAAATAGAGATATGGGACCCTTACATACCTTAGCTCCAAAATGACAATAATATTAATTTGGTAAACCATTTTTTCAATATTTTTATACCCTAATTATTAATGAAGCAAATCAGTATCACAATTATTTTCAAATGTTTATCCAGTGGTATTACTAAGTATTCCGGTCAAATAATCCTATGTGACTCTGCCGGAATTCCATATGCATTCCAATCGACGAAGCAAGGTTCTAAGAAAAGAATACTGATGGAAGACAATGGTTTTTAGGTATTTTATCTTTTTTTGTTCCTTTCTATTTTTCCTTTTCCTATTAAAACCTTGAGTTCCAGTTGTGACATGTAAATAATCTAGTTCCATGTTAAAAGGTCAACTAGTAGTAGTAGGGTTTAGGGTTTAGGGTATCAATTATCACCAAATGGTGCTCTCATTGAGAGGTTTGAACACAATCAAGTGAGAAAACCTCCCAAAAGAACCAAAAATTCATTCGAATCACAAGAAATAAAAAAAAACACAAGCTGGAAATTCAACAACAAAAAAAGCTAGAAACTGAGATATGGAGTTGGCAAGCCTTCGTCAGTGATGTGATCGCCATCTCGATTGCTACTGTGCACCAGAGAGCACTGCCACCTCAAGATCTGAGCCGCTGAGCTGGAGAATCACCATCGTTGGATGCTATAAGCTTGGGTCCACCGGCTCTGTCTCAATGCCTCCCACCTCGCCTCGCCTCCGTATTCCCGTCGATTGTTGAAGCTCAACCTCAGGTACCGCCATTAATGGCTGCTTCAACGCCCCTGGAGAAACAAGGCGTACCTCCGGCCAAAAGACACAATCTGAATCTGCAGTGCCCCGAATCTCGTCGCCCTGTTTCTATTAAAACGCCGTCGGAAACAAAGCAGCTCGTGGCTCGTCGTTGGCTCCACCAGCCACCGCCTGAATCACCCAAACTGCCGCTCGTCGTCAACGGTCAGCCACCCACCGGTCCTCCAACTGGTCAGTCGCTGTTCGAGCCCTCACACTCTACTGACGCGACCCAGGAAAACTGCGCTTGGGAACTCCTTGAGTCTCACCATTAATGGTGGCTTGGGGCTTAGGAAAGGTATGTTTCAGGGCTCGGTCGATCGTCCACCGCAGGCTAGCCTTTCCAGCTGCCCTCGCCCCGCTGCAGCGTCCACCGCCAACCCCGGTCAGCGGTCGACCTGCACTGCTTGGCCGTGGTGGGATACTTCGCCTGGCTCTCCACGATATGCCCGGATGCTCCTCGCTCGGCCGAGAAGCAGACCACGTACAGAGGGTCAGAAATCCAGAATGAAAGGGGGGGTTAGCAGTCAGAGATGGAGACGTTGTGGACTGAGTAGACGGAGAGGAAGGCTGATGTCTTGGTCCCAGGACGAAACCGCCAGCTTGCTGATGGGAGAGCCGACTGCAACAACTCAATGATGCTGTATACTTTGGAATGAAATGACGTGGTTATGTGGCTACCACTTGCCCACTACGAGTGAAGTACAATGGACCACAATAGTCAATGGTCTTCTGAAAGTTAAAAAAGGGCCCAATTGGATTGCTGGATGCTATCCATTTCAGTGAAGCCCACCAATATATTTGAGTCCATCAAAAGCTAAGTGTTTCTCTTTAATTTTTATATTATTTATATTTATTTAAATCATTTCTTTTTGTCGGGCGAATGTCAAACTATCACACAATTATGATCAAATGCCTAGTAGACTGAGACTTGAGACCCATCACTAGGATTTAAAGCCTGACCAAGTCAGACACAAAGCCCCGACCAAGTCGGGCATGAAGACCGGTCTTAGTCATTCCAAGAATGACGACCGTTGTGTACGAATGGCTCACACATCCACTCTACTAAGTATTTTATCATTACATTAGCAATTCACATTTCCACTTTTTTAAAGTGACGAACTCCCGATCGGAAACATAAACCCCAAGAAAATTTTTTATGTATGTTAAATGTGTAGGCACGAAGATGACTTTACTCATTTTCACCTCATCTCCACTCGCCTCAAGGACTGGGGGACTGGGGGACTGAAGGGTCAAAGTTTCTGGATGAGCAAAAAATATCACGCAAGCGGAGGAATGAAAGTTGAGTCGGATGAAGAGGAGCTGAGCTAGACAAAATTGATTATGTCTTATGTCGGAGGGATCTTACCTTCCTTGTTTCATGTTGGGGGTGCTAGGTGTGCTCTTTTCCCCTTTATTAGGATTTTTCCCACTGGTTTTTTTCCTAGTAAAGGTTTTTAACGAGGCACCTCGCCATCATGGACAAGGGTGGTGGTCCCCCGGCCGAAGAGGAAGAAATCAAAGATAGAAGAACGTTGCAGATGCAATTATGGACTACTCCCTTTCACCTCGAGTACTCTTGGCTCAGGGAGTGGGGGACTCCTGATGGAGTATATGGACCCAGACCACCCGTCCTGCCGACTATTGGGCCCAGAAAATGGCCCACCTACGCTCAGTAGATAGCATTTATATTATTGTACATTATTATTATTCGGGTGTACTAGATTAGCTTTTTATACTATTTGTCCATTTATGTAACCGGGTCTGTCAGGTCCGTATCAGAGGCCCAGACCCGGATTTCCCTATATATACTCCTTATAGGAGGCTTGTAAAGGACACACAATTCACATTCATACACAATACGTCTTCTCTTCTCCTTCCTTCTTGTTCAATCTTTCTATTTTATACAATATGGGTATCAATTATCCATCACATTATAAGTTCACAAGGGGCAAATGGGCAATCAACTTGTATTACCATTCATGACTAGATGTATTGCTTCCATCATCCATGTCCAATTAACAATCAAAACTGTCAAACAAATTAGTCATATATAATGTTCAACAATAAATAAGTAATGAAAGCAGTATTTTTACTGCAATAGGATCCTGAGAAGATCCACCAACATGGCCATCAGGACCACTAGTGACATTACCATCGATTAATTCTGCAAAAAAAAACAAATCAACCTGTTTAATGTAAAAGAAAACATATGAAGTACATTATATGTAAGAGAAAAATAAAAAAAAGTTTAAATTGACCTCTTTTCAGCCTTTGCACTTCATCTATATTTTCTTCAACTGAGATAGGGAGGTTTTGATTTCTTAGCCAATCTTGAGTACAAATTAAAGATTCCACAATTTTTGGACTTAATGAACTTCTGAAACAGTCCAACACTCTGCCACTAGTACTAAAAGTGGACTTAGAAGCATCAATAGAGATTGGAACAACTAGAATATCTCTAGCCATTTTTGAGAGGATAGGAAACCTCTCACTGTTTAACTTCCACAACCTTAAAATGTCAAAATCTGTATCCTCTTCAATTATGGCCTCACTCAAGTACATTTCTAGCTCACTTTGTTTCAAACCCAACTGCCCATTCTCAAACTTCTGTTTTTTAAGCTGGGCTTTCAATTTGAAGACAGGTCTAGCAGACAGAGTCTCTAATTGTGTTTCAGAGGGAGTTGAGCTTGAAATAATGCTTCCAGTACCAGAATCAGAGTAGTTGGACACATAATCATTAAATAACTCATGCAAAGTAAGCTTGATACTTTTAAAGAACTTCACACCCTTTGGTTCTGTATAAAGGGCATTCAGTTTAAAAAGCATGTATTCAAACCTGTCCCTTGGGTCAAGCACATTTGCAAAAAAGATCAGAAAGTTCATTTTCTCTGGGTCTCCCCAATATTTATCCAATTTAGATTTCATAGTAAAGTCCATTTTACTTGTGAAAGCTTTGGGAGACTTCATCATGTCTTGAAGCACCAGAAACAAATCAAAAATTTCGGAGAAGAAAGTATTGGAAGTAACATACAAAGATCCAGAAATCCTTAAGGTCATTTCATAAAAACTTTCAAGAACCGACACTAAGGATTCACAATTCACCCAATCAGAAATATCAAGCACTTCTGTACCTAAATCAGACCCATAACAACTCTCGTTCTCCTCATATTCTTCAAAAACTATTTCATTGGATAATGCTAACTTCAACATCAGATAGGTGGAGTTCCACCTAGTTGGAACATCTAGGTGCAAGCCACATTTGGACTCTGCTCATATCAAGTTAGATATATCCTTGAATTTTTGGAGCCTAAAAGGAGAATTCCTAACATACTTCACTGCTTCCCTAACCCTCACTACAGATGTACCAGCATCCTTCAACCCATCTTGGACTGCCAGATTCAAGATTTGGGCAATACATCTCATGTGTAGGTAATTGACTCTAACAGGAGAAGCACCCCATGACAGGAGCTTTTTCTTTAAAAATCCTATTGCAGTATTATTACTGCTTGCATTATCAATAGTCACAGAGAACATATTTTTCAATCCACACTCTAATATTTCTAGGGTTTTGGCAATGTACTCCTCTTTGTGGGAAGTCACTTGCACAAAAGAAATCACCTTCTTCTGTAGCTTCCACTGATTATCTATGAAATGAGCAGTAATACACATGTAGTTGATCCTCTGAAAAGAGGTCCATGTTTCAGTTGTTATACTGACCCTTTGGGTGGTCTCTTTAAACAACTTTCTAAGGCTCAGCTTCTCATCTGATAAATGTCCCTAGCAATAGTCCACCTAGAAGAGACAACAAACCTTGGACATGCTACAAAGACACTTTCTAAACCTTGTCTCTCAACAAATCTAAAAGAAAGCTCATTAATTAGTATCATTTCTACGAGATCTCTTCTGATTAGAGTTTGGTCAAACACCCAGGTCCCTATAACCCCAGTAGTTTCTGGAGAGGTGGTTTGAGTATTAACAGCTGTTTGGAAGGTTAATATGGCTTGTCTTATCTCTTTAGAGTGGGTATTTTTTAGGCAACTAAGCATGTGGTTTCTCAGAGAAGAAGTTCCATGCCTTTTGGACTCACAACAGTACACCTTAGCACAATATATACATCTCCCCTTCACAAGAACTCCCTTGCTATCATATATTTTGCGAAAGTGTTCCCATATCTTGGATCTAGGTTCAATTTGTTTCCTCTTTTGTCCACAACCAGCAGTTGAAGCAATCTATTGAGTGTTCTGCTCTACATTCTGAGCTTCCACTGCAGGTTGTTGGGCTGGAGGAGATTGAGCACCAGATACAGATATGCCTTGGGATTCCATCTATAAACCATTACATGAAACTTAGGGACTTTTGCATAGCCTCCACAATCATAATTCAGAAAGAACAAACAATCATTCTTTCATCATCATTCATTCATTCTTCTTTGGGGCCACAATCACTCTTTTGTAAACAGAGATTTCAACATATGAAATCATTCCCACTTTCTCAGTCAAGGCAGTTAGGCATGCATAGAAATCAAGTCTGGAACAATCACCAAGGTGATTCACAGAATAGTATAAGTAGTAGGCTTAACTATTCTCTACAGACTTAGAAGAACCAGTTAACTCTAACTACTTAGCTTGAGTGTTTGAGTCAATCAGGTAACTTCTACAACAATAACAACCAACATGTAATAGGCAACATCTATACACACAACCTTACACAACTTCCACCATCACAATTCAGAAAGAACAAACAATCATTCTTTCATCATCAATCAATCATTCTTCTTAGGGGCCACAATCACTCTTTTGCATACAAACTTTTCAACATATAAAATCATTCCCACTTTCTCAATCAAGACAGTTAGGCATGCATAGAAATCAAGCCTGGAACAATCACCAAGGTGATTTACATAATAGTATAAGCAGTAGGCTTAACTATTCTCTACAGACTTAGAAGAACCAGTTAACTCTAACTACTCAGCTTGAGTGTTTGAGTCAATCAGGTAACTTCTACAACAACAATAACCAACATGTAATAGGCAACATCTATACACACAACCTTACAGAGCTTCCTCTATCACGCAAAGACATAACCATAATTCATACATAAATACAGTTTCGGACAGACATGCCCATAATTCAGTCCTCAATATTCATGTAGCACAAACAGTGACATAACCTATCACACAAACATCATTTTTACTTCCACAATTCGACATTCAAGGCTGCTTCGAGTCACACAATAAACAACAACTCACAAGTCACAACATTAATTTACACACTCTTCATCAAACAGAGAATAAAAGTTATTCCTCACGGTCGAGTGTGACTGATATGAGAGAGTGGGAGACTAAGAGTGTGCAGCGAGCTTAGCTTTGCCGGAAAAGGGGCAATGATTCCACATTTCAACGTTCGATGACTTTAGGGTTTCAACTTCAAACCAAGAAGCGTGTGAGAGGGAGTGACAGACAGAAGGTGAGAGTGAGAGTGCCAAGAGAGAAGACTGCAACCTGAGTAACAGGGCTGAGAGTCTGAGACCCTCACAGACTCACCGTCTCACAGCCGGAGTCCGGAGATCGGAGAGATGAAGTGATCAGCGAAGAGAGTTATCAGAGATTCAGAGTAGAGATATAGAGAAGTGGGCGGAAGTAGGTTAGGATTTATTAGTAGAGTGTGTGTATATATATATATATATATATATATATATATATATATATATATATATATATATATAAATATATATGGGCTGTATACTGGGTTGGGTCTTCGGGTTTTCGGACGGGTCGGTTGGGTTAAATCCAAATCCTACCCGGCCCAGTAATATTTAGGGATAATGCTGGTGGGTTTTCGGGTTTGTTGTTCGGGTCGGTTGACCCTACCCGGTCGTGTAAAATCAGAAATATCCGATCGAGTATTCGGGTTGGGTCGGGTTTTACTCAGCCCTATACATCATCATATATCACGAATTTCAAGTCACACGGGCTTGTTACCTTTGAACATCGCAGGAAAAACACCCATAGCTTCCAACGATTGTCCTTGATTCGTGTTCATTTATGACTTGTTTTATCGAGAGGGTAATTTTGCATAAATGATAAATGTTTGGGGTTAAAAAATTATTTTATTTACCAAGCAGATAAAAAAAGCATCCATCCAAGCTTTTAACTAATAATGACAACATAGCCCGTAGGTTAGTAGCTAAAGAAACTTCGAACGTTGCTTCAATGATTTACAGTTTACAAATTAGCTAGTAAGTGCATGAGAAAACTCGGGACAAAACACACTTTTCTTAACGATATGCCTCTTTTCCAACCTTGCTGGTTTGCATACATATTACCTTTTATGACTTTAGTCGGACACTTGGGTGGTTATTTAGGGGCCACGTTTTTTTGGATTAATAATCAGATTTTTAAATTAAACATTGACCGTTTTTTATTTTACTCTTCAAAGAACAATAATGAAAGTGGATTTGAAGTACTTTTTCAGTTTTTTTTTTTGCTCAAATCGCGTGAAAAAAAGTAGAGAGGAGTAGAGGCAGTTGTTATACCGTGAATCATCCCACGGTGAACATCCTACTCCCACATATAAAATGGTGTCGTTTAGGTTTAATTTAATAAAATTCACGTGAACAGTACTTTTACTTTTGACTAATTATTTCATGGTGTAAATCCTTCGTATTGATATGTAACTCGTGTTATTGTAAAATGTAAATTCAGTGTTTTCAAATGTAACTCACACGCTGGAGTTTGTAACTTGTTTTACTCATTTTTTTGAAAGAGTAACCTGTTTTACTCTCTCAACTTGTTAAGCCACTTGAAATATAGTTTTATAAAATTATTTTTATAAAAATCAATCTATATTTTTTATTTCTATAAAATGATTTTTTATAAAAAATAAT